GTGAGTGTGTGAGTGAGTGAGTGTGTGTGAGTGGTGTGAGAGAGAGTGTGAGTGTGTGTGAGTGAGAGTGAGTGTGAGTGTGTGAGTGAGTGTGTGAGTGTGTGAGTGTGAGTGAGTGTGAGTGAGTGTGTGAGGTGAGTGAGTGAGTGAGTGAGTGTGAGTGAGTGTGAGTGAGTGTGTGAGTGTGAGTGGTGTGAGTGAGTGAGTGTGAGTGAGTGAGTGAGTGGTGTGGTGTGAGAGTGTGTGAGTGGTGAGTGAGTGAGTGTGTGTGAGTGTGTGTGGTGGGTGTGTGTGAGTGAGTGTGAGAGAGAGTGAGTGAGTGTGAGTGAGTGAGTGTGTGAGTGAGTGTGTGTGAGTGTGTGTGAGTGGTGAGTGTGTGTGAGTGAGTGAGTGTGAGTGAGTGTGTGAGAGAGTGAGTGAGTGTGAGTGAGTGGTGAGTGGTGAGTGTGTGAGTGGAGTGAGTGTGAGTGTGAGTGAGAGTGTGTGAGTGAGTGAGTGAGTGAGTGTGTGTGAGTGTGTGGTGAGTGAGTGAGTGTGAGTGAGTGTGAGAGAGAGTGAGTGAGTGTGAGTGGTGAGTGTGTGTGTGAGTTGTGAGTGTGTGTGTGGTGAGTGTGTGAGTGAGTGAGGTGGTGTGTGGTGAGTGAGTGAGTGTGAGGAGAGTGAGTGAGTGGTGTGTGTGAGTGTGTGTGAGTGAGTGAGTGTGAGTGAGTGTGAGAGAGAGTGAGTGAGTGTGAGTGAGTGAGTGTGTGAGTGAGTGTGAGTGTGAGTGTGTGAGTGAGTGAGTGGTGAGTGTGTGAGTGAGTGAGTGAGTGAGTGTGAGAGAGAGTGAGTGAGTGTGGTGAGTGGTGTGTGTGAGTGAGTGTGAGTGTGTGTGAGTGGGTGTGTGAGAGTGAGTGTGTGGAGTGAGTGAGTGAGTGAGTGTGAGTGAGTGAGTGTGAGTGTGTGTGAGTGAGTGAGTGTGTGTGAGTGAGTGAGTGTGAGTGTGTGTGAGTGAGTGTGAGAGAGAGTGTGAGTGTGTGTGTGAGTGAGAGTGAGTGTGAGTGTGTGAGTGAGTGTGAGTGAGTGAGTGAGTGAGTGTGAGTGTGAGTGAGGTGAGTGAGTGTGAGTGAGGTGAGTGAGTGAGTGGTGAGTGAGTGAGGTGAGTGAGTGTGGTGAGTGAGTGAGTGTGTGAGTGAGTGAGTGAGAGTGAGTGAGTGTGAGTGAGTGAGTGAGTGAGTGTGTGTGAGTGAGTGTGGTGAGTGAGTGGTGGTGAGTGAGTGAGAGTGAGTGAGTGTGAGTGTGTGAGTGAGTGAGTGAGTGTGTGTGAGTGAGTGTGGTGAGTGGTGAGTGGTGAGTGAGTGTGTGAGTGTGTGGAGTGAGTGAGTGTGAGTGGAGTGAGTGTGAGTGAGTGAGTGTGAGTGAGTGAGTGAGTGAGTGTGTGAGTGAGTGGTGAGTGGTGTGGTGAGTGAGTGAGTGAGTGAGTGAGAGTGAGTGAGTGTGAGAGGGAGTGTGTGTGAGTGAGTGGAGTGAGTGAGAGTGTGTGAGTGAGAGTGAGTGAGTGAGTGAGTGAGTGAGTGAGTGAGTGGTGAGTGAGTGAGTGAGTGAGTGAGTGAGTGTGTGAGTGAGTGAGTGAGAGTGGTGAGTGTGAGAGAGAGTGTGTGTGAGTGAGTGAGTGGTGAGAGTGTGTGAGTGAGAGTGAGTGGTGAGTGAGTGAGAGTGAGTGAGTGTGAGAGAGAGTGAGTGTGTGTGAGTGAGTGAGTGAGTGAGTGTGAGTGTGTGTGAGTGAGTGTGTGTGAGTGAGTGAGTGTGAGTGTGAGTGTGTGTGAGTGAGTGTGTGTGAGTGAGTGAGTGTGAGTGAGAGTGAGTGAGTGTGAGTGTGTGTGTGTGTGAGTGAGAGTGAGTGTGAGTGTGTGAGTGGTGGTGTGAGTGAATGAGTGAGTGTGGGTGAGTGAGTGAGTGAGTGTGTGGTGAGTGAGTGTGTGTGTGAGAGAGAGTGAGTGAGTGAGTGTGAGTGAGTGTGAGGTGA